TGCTGCAACCGAATCCGCTCTAGTCATACTTTCGTCTGGCTGCAGGGTCAATTCCTGTCCACAATAACTGCGATCTCTGAATCCGAGGAGATTAATTCAGATGACATGATGTCTCTAATGTCCTTGTTGTCTCTAATGTCCTAATGTCCAAATTTGTAGGTTAGTGAGTCAATCATTATTTTCGATTGCAAAATGTGAGTTATTTCAAGTAATTTTAAGTAAAAAAGAGCTTCAAGTTTCGCTTGTCGGAGGTAGAACATGCAACACACAGCACATACATCACCGGTATATTAAGACTAATTATTTGGTCCTGATTTTGAGTGTGCAAATCCTTATGGAAGCTACATAAAAAATTCACAACCCATGAAACTAACCTTCATCACACAGAGTTCCCGTAAATCCCGCAGTACAGTCACATTGGAATGAATTCATGAGGTCCACACATGTTCCGGCATGGCATGGAAATGAGGCACACTCGTTGATTTCTAAAGAACAGGGAGGAGAGAGAAGAATCATTCACATCTGGAGAAAGTAAAATGTCCTTGGTCCTGCCTTGAAGTGAAGCAAGATAAACAGACATGCACCCAAGTAGTGGTGTTGATATTTAGAGAACTCACCCAACCCATGCAATCGCCTTCACAACCAACCACACACACAGTGACACCACGGAGAGAATGAGGGAGAGAAAGAGTGAGAGAGAGGGAGAGAGGAAATTAGAGAGACAGGAACAGAGATATAAGATGGATAGCGATTGACGGAGAAGGCGGGAGGGAGGGAAAAAGAAGGAGGACGAAAGTGATTCACGCAACCCTGATAAACGTGACCAACACAAAGTATTACCTGTGTCGCAGTGTTCACCGGTATATCCCGCAAGACAATCACACACATATCCACTGACTTCATCATGACAACTTCCTCCATTGTTACAAGGATTAGATGAGCACTCGTCGATATCTGGATTGATATGAATAGTGGGCGGGAGAGGAACAAGACGCAGGGAAAGATAACAACAAAATAGTCTTGGTCTTAATGCATCCTACTATGTGTGGCTGCCGAAAAATGTCTTTGCGAACTCACTACGGTTCCGTGTTGTTTGTGAGTTGCCAACAAAATGTAACTCAAAAGCCTTTACTAAAACACACGCACACAAGCACACACACACACACACACATGCGTGTACACACATGGACACAAAATGAAGCCAAGAAGATCCTGAAAACACAAAGCACATACCTGTTTCACACCGTTCTCCAGTATATCCCGTGAGGCAATCACAGTTGTAGTGATCTGGACTATCATTTCGACATACACCACCATGCATACAAGGATCTGATAAACATTCATCAATGTCTGAAAGCAGAGAGATAGAGAGGTAGAAGCAAAATGACGATAGGAAAACTGAGCCCATCCACATAGCATTTGCATTATATGCAATACACAGCACAAACCTCAAGGATACATTGAATTATAACTAATCAGTCGATCTTCACGGTAAATGCCCAGATATTTATGCAGGCTACTTAAAGCCGTTCTCCACCCCGGCAACTAACCTTCATCACAGAGAGTTCCCGTAAATCCCGCAGCACAGTTACACCGGAATGCATCGACGAGGTCCACACATGTTCCAGCATGACATGGTGATGAGGTACACTCATTGATCTCTACATAATATAGGGGGAGGGGGGGGGGGGGAGAAAAGGGAAGCATTACACATCTGGAGAAAATAAATGTCCTTTGCTCTGCCTTGAAGTGAAGGAGAAGTCGTCTGCAGGCATAAACCTAAGTAGTGGTGGTGATATCTGGAAAACTCTCCAAACCCATTGTCTTGCCTTCACACCCAAGGGACAGCGTGATGGAGAGCGAGGAAGAGAGGGAAAATGAGAGAGAGAGAGACAGAGAGACAGAGACAAAGATACAACATAGATAGCTGTAGGTGTAAAGGGAGGAAAAGATGGAAAAGGAATAGGGAAGGGAGTGATTCATGCAACTCTTGTATACAAGGCAAACACAAAGCCTTACCTGTGTCACAGTGTTCGCCGGTATACCCAGCAAGACAATCACACACATATCCACTGACTGGATCATGACAACTTCCTCCATTGTTACAAGGATTGGATGAGCATTCGTTGATATCTGGATTGATATGAATAGTGGGTGGGAGAGCAACAAGACGCAGGTCAAGACATGAACATAATTATTTTATGGTCTTGCTCTTAGAGCATCCTACTATGTGTGATGGCCGAGCAATGGAACTGAGCACGAGAGTAACGTTCAAGATAGAGATGAGCCAGAAAATATGGAAGAAACGCAGAGCAGGAGGAAGGAAGGGAAGCAGGTAGGGTGGGAAAGAGAGTGGTTATAATGGTGGCAATGGTGGAAAAGGGTAGACAGGGAGTGGCACAGTGCGGAAAGGAGGTAGAAATAGAGGTAAAAACTTGACAGAAACAAATTGAAGATTGTCGAGTTACGCTCACAATTCAACTAGCAACAATGAATCATGCTCTTTGCAAGCTCACCTTGGTCACACAATCTTCCAGTAAAACCTCGCTGACAAACACAGGTGAAATTGTTGACATGATCAAAACATGTTGCATCAATGTGACAACGTGCCACCTGGCAATCATCAATGTCTGAGTGAGAAAAAACAAAAGCACACAAGAACATTGTACAAAGGCAAAAACCAAAATTTTGAAACGGTTCTCCCCCTCAAGGACTCAGACGCCCTGGTTGTTCGTGAAGTGGGCATGGAAACTAGAGCGGAGTCTTTGTCAGGTGCATTTTCTGCTTCAATGTCGGCGGAAACATTTAGTCCCATATTTTATTCAGCGCAGCGTGCCCCAGCCGATAGGTTCCCGTCCTTCCAGAGCTACCCGTCGCGATGCCTAACACCACCTTACTGCGAGTGGCGCGGGGCTCTAGACACCTCACTGGTGGTGTGAGACTGGAACTGGGCTGTTATCACTGCTGTAGCACAGTATCTACTTTCCTCGCCGTTTGTGCTTGTGTTGTCATGTATATGTAGTAATGCACACCCGCCATGACGTGCTTTGCACTTCTCTACGCGCGCTGTCACTATGTACCGCGCTTTGCTTGCTTGCCTCCTTCTTTTATACTGCTGTTCTTTCCATGTCCACTTCATTCCTGATGATGGTCATAAAAACCGAAACGTTGTAACGATACCAATGGATTTGTGTGAAATGCAGTGCTCTCTTGAGTGTAGGCAGGTTGCCTGCAAACAATTCAAGCAAAAAAGAAGACAAATAAATTAAAACTAAATAAATTTCACGGTTCGCGTGAGACTCGGCTGAAAGCCGAGTTTTCCGCATCCGCCGTGGGAACGACAGCACCCTCTAGGATCAAGGCGCAGATCCAGCGCCTAAACGGTGGGAGGTGAGTGGATCAGACCCACCACCAAGTGGTCAAAGACCGAAATCCCATTAGCTGCATCCATGTTACCCTTGTGCCAGGCCACGAGTTCCCAATTAACTGTGGGTCGCAGCACGGCTGGAAAAATTCCTTCCGCTTCCAAGCAGGACTTGAACCTGGTACCCTCTGTTTCTCTTAGACCATCCCACTATGCCTGCCTGCAAACGCAGACAAACGCCGCTCCAAATAAGTTAAACCTGAGATTTTCATTCTCATAGAAATTTGGAGGTAGCACATGAAGAGAATCAGACAAAAGACTTCCTTATATACACGCCAAAACAAAGACCGGTTTTATATCATGAAACATAATTATACGCACAGACCATAATTGAACTTTTCTTGCTGTCAACACTGCCATGCTATCATTTGACAAAAAAATCATTGGCAGTGATTAAAGCTCCGTGTTGTTCATGAGACGCATACAAAATGTAACTCAAAAGCCCTTAATAAAACACACAAACACACACGCACGCACGTGCATACACACACACACACACACACACACACACACACACACATACACACAAATGCCCCCAAATGCACGCGAAGCAAAAATCCTGAAAACACGAAGCATATAAATTTGATCAGCATCCACCCCCTACCTGTTTCACATCGTTCTCCAGTATATCCCATGAGGCAATGACAGTTGTAGTGATCTGGACTATCGTTTTGACATACACCACCATGCATACAAGGATCTGACAAACATTCATCAATGTCTGAAAATAGATAGACAACAGTACATACAAATCAGCATAGGAAAAGGTTAGCCCATCCACATAGCATTAGCATTATCTGCAACACACAGCACAAACCTCAATGATACATTGTATTTTAACTAATCAAACGATCCTTGCTGCGAATGCGCAGATCCTTATGCAGGCTACTTAAAACCGTTCACAACCCAGGTAAATAACCTTCGTCACACAGAGTTCCGGTGAATCCCGCAGTACAGTCACACCGGAATGCATTGACGAGATCCACACATGTTCCAGCATTACATGGAGATGAGGTACATTCATCGATGTCTACACAACAAAGGGGTAAGAAAAGGGAAGCATTACACATCTGGAGGAAAGTAAAAATCCTTGGCTGTGCCTTTGATTGAAGGAGAAGACGCCTGCAGACATTAATCCAAGTAGTGGTGGTGAGAGAGAGAGAGAGTGAGGGTGGGAGAACGAGGGGAAAAGACTGAGGGAGAGAGAGTGATGGAGAGAGAGAGAGGGAGAGAGAATAGGAGAGACGAAGACAGAGATCCGAGATAGGTATTTCCTCTCTGCTGCTCTGATGAGTCCATAAAGAACGACATAGATAGGGAGATAGAGAGGGCGAGATGGAGGGAGAACGAAAGAGGAAAGGAGTGATTCACACAACCCTACTCAGCAAGGCAAACACAAACCATTACCTGTGTCACAGTGGTCATCGGTATACCCCGCAAGACAATCACACACATATCCACTGAGTTGGTCGTGACAACTTCCTCCATTGTTACAAGGATTGGACGAGCACTCGTCAATATCTGCATTGATATGAATAGTGGGCAGTAAGAAGAACAAGACATGGGGAGAGACATGAAAACATTGTCTTGGTCTTAGACAATCCTATTATACCTCCCTACAAATGGCATCAGGGTAATGTTAAAGATAAAGATGAGGCAGAAAAGAAGGAAGAAGCACAGAGCAGAAGGAAGGAAGGAAGGCCGGGACGGTGGTAACCAGAGGGGGTACAATGGAGGTAATGGTGGAGAAGGGCAGGCAGAGAACATCACAGCGACAGGGAGGTATACATAGCTCAGATTGGAAAGTGCAGTTCGAGCCAGCCAAATCCCAGGCCCTTACAATTTCCCACCATTGTGACTGGCCAATACCCCCGTTGTCTTCAATGGAACTCCTGTGGAGGAGCAGCCGTCCATCAAAGTACTCAGTGTCTTGTTTGACCATCAGCTAAAATTCAGCCAGCATATCCGAACCGCTGTAGTCCGATCAATGCAAAGACTTGGAGCCTTGCGCAAAGCATTTGACTTGCTGGCTATTCCTGCCCGACTTCGAGCCTACCAAGTCTTTGTCCGGTTATGGAGTACTGCCCAATCATCTGGATGGGGGCAGCTCCTTCCCACTGGAATCGGCTGGACTGGGTGCAGGAGCGAGCCATCAAGGAAATACATCCGCAATGCTGACTTCCTAGGCACATAATTTGCCGCACCATCGCTGCCCTCTGCCTCCTGTATAAATCCCTTTGAGATAATTCTCCCTCTCTTCTCTCGAGAATGACTCCACCCCGACGCAACAGCCCAGGACCACACCCCTAACCCGCCAGGCTGTACGACTATCCACCGCGCATCCCCATCAGTTACAGAATGTTCTTCCTACCAATTCCTGGAACAATGCGAGTCGAGCCTTTCCCCACTCCGTCATCCCCATTTGGAACCAGCTTCCATACTCTATCATTCCCCACCCATTTCACCCAAAGAACACCCGAAAGTGCAAGACAGCAGCTTATCACTATCTCCTCACAACAAACTGGCACTGGGCCACTCATAGCATACGCGAGTAAGAGGGTACAGTGTCCTACCCTGCATGGATCTAACCTCTCCTCACAGACAGTCTCCTCTTGAATTTAAAAATCTAACAGTGTTCACGTCAATACTTAACTTATTCTTTTGCTCACTGAGCAATACAATCTTTTCATTTTCATTCTTCTGTTTTCTTTTTCAACTTAATCCTTCCTACCTAATCTCCCTTTGGTGCGTCCATGGAGCTATGAAGCCGAGACCTCTGGTAGGCTGAGCTTAATGGGCCCCACCACCACACTCCATTATTCACTCCAGCGTCTGGAGATATGTGGATTTTGTAGAAAAAATAGAGGTAAACCGGCCAGAAGTACATTTACAGCTTGTTGAGTTCCACGTAGCGCTCACCAGGCAATGGTGAATCACTCTCTTTGCAAGCTCACCTTGGTCACACAATTGTCCAGTAAACCCTGGCTGACAAACACAGGTGAAATTGTTAACACGATCCAAACATGTTGCATCAGTGTGACAAGGTGAACCCTGACAATCATCAATGTCTGAGAGAGACAGCAAAAGCACACAGTAGCAATATACAAAGGCACAACAAAGACAAAAGCCACTGGAAATAAGTCAAACGTAAGAGTTTAATTCTTGTTGGAGTGATAGAAAGGTAACATGTGAAGGGAATCAGACAAAAGGATTCTGTATAACCGACTCCCATAAAATTTGTACGTACATGCCAAAAAAAGAAAGATTACAATTATATTATAAAACAACATACACACAGAACACGAGTGGATTTGTGTTCCTGTCAGCACTGCCATTATGACAAAAATCCATTGGCGGTGATCAAGGCTTAACCCTTTCACTGCCAGCTGACTGCTCAAGTGACAAGGCACTCAGTGCCAGGCTGTCAGCTGAGCTGTGCACTCCCCAGTGCCAGGCGCTTTTTACCTCCAGTTCAAAAAATCGAAAGGCCAACTTTTCCTGGATTTTTTGGTACTTTCTGTACGGAATATCGCTTTCTAAAGTATACATCGTAGGTAGCCAACTGATAAAGGAAGCCATTGCCCTCGAAAAAAATCGCAAAATCCGAAGTACAAACGCGCTGAGCGTTCTAGCGCCAGCCGCTGTGCAACAAGTCATGTCATGTCATGCGAAAGTGCGCCGCGTGCCGCATAAGCATGCACTACATACACTGCATGTACACCATGTGTACGGCCCGGCCAGTTGCGAAGTAAAGTTAGTTGTTGTTTTGGAGAGAGAAGGAAATCCTGTTTTTCGTTCGGTGGGATTGAAAGATCTGCCAGTGGACCGGAGAGCTACAACACTTGAAGCAGAAGAAAGTGCTTGCTGAAACTTCCCTGTCTTCGTGGCAACAGGACTTCAGTTTGCGAGAGACTTTCGTCCTGTCGCTGCGGACGCAATTCTTGTTGCTTGCAGAAAACTTGGGGAACGGTCGCGACTCGTTTTGTGAGGCGGATCGTGTCGCTGAACAGCCGCGGATTGTTCTGCCGACATGGTGGTCCTTTGTTCTCCTAATTATCAGCAGTCCAAGCACATCTCTTCAACGTCGGAGAATGAAGCGCTTCCCTGTTCCGTTGACAAGCGCTTCGCTCGCGGGTGTAATGCACTTCCGCATCAGCTTGCAGTAGATCGCCAGGTATTGAGGTAGGTGTCCTTGCGGAAAGAATAATATTATTATACTTGTAGCTGACATACCTGTAGTGTCCCTTGACCGTGCTGGTCGCCATTGCAACGTTTTAGGTCTCAGGAAAATTGAGTTCTGGACGCGGCGAGCGCCGCCAGCGCTGTTTCCGTCAATTTTGTACATAGCTGCATCCAAAATGCGTTCGTGAGGAATCCGTCGTTTGGTTCCCTACCCGTGACTCCAACCGCCTGTCGCAATGGATAGCCGCCTGGAGTCTTGGGTAATAGCTAGGCATCAAGTCTGAACCAAATTCCATGCTCTATGCAAAGAAAGTTGACGGGAAAGAGAAAAATACTCGCACCGACTCAGCTCGGTGGAAGTGCGTGGGAACCGATTTTTTCAGCGCCGCTCGGCTAAAAATTGGATACACATTTTCAACGACGCTGGTTCGATATTTTTCAAATGGCAACCCTTACTCCTGGCAGCGTATTTCAATGGATATGGACCCCTTCCAGAGCCCAGTAACCCTCTATTGCAGCTAAACATCTCCAATACCCCAAAATAGTGGCCCAAACTGGGCGAAGTCGGCCTGTCGACTGCAGTCGACAGCGGCACTGGGAACTGCATTCTTGCTGGTCGACTGCAGTCGACAGCGGCACTCAGAGTGCATGAATGGGCTGTCGACTGGAGTCGACAGCGGCAGTGAAAGGGTTAATCAACCCCACATACACACACTCTAACACGTACGCACACACACTGCAGGGCTGCCACTTGCTCCGATTTTTCGGAAATCGTCCAATTTTTGATTGCCTGTCGGACAAACTGACCGATTTTGTCCCCAAAGAGGGACAACCGATTATTTTATTTTGAGCGCTTTTTAGTCCAGTTGGCCATTCGGCGCTTCCAGGTCGCGTTTGGCCAGTCATTGTACATGTACATGTACGTGTAACTGTAAAATGCACGTGTGCTTGCATGTGTGTGGACAGTTAAAAATGTGTTCTGGGGCCCCAACAGCAGGCCATTTTGCTAAAAAAATTAGCCGCGGGACACACCCGGACCCCGTCAGATTTTCTCCCTCCAAGTGTGGCAGCCCTGACACAAGCACACACGGACACACACATACATGTAAGCACACAAAACGAAACCAAAAAAATGCTTCTGCACATCAGCAAACACAGACGATTGACCAGCATAAAATCCTTACCTGTTTCACACCGTACTCCAGTATATCCCGTGAGGCAATCACAGTTGTAGTGATCTGGAATATCATTTTGACATACACCACCATGCATACAAGGATCTGACACACATTCATCAATGTCTGAAAGCAGAGAGACCGACAAAACCAAAGCATTAGCACTATCCACAGCACTCAATCAATCAGCAACGCATTACATTGCCCTATTTAATTCATTATCTTAGCCCCAAACTTGAGGTGTCAATGCTATAATAATCGGGGCTTGAGCTGCCCTACTTCTCTAGGGCCCATCGTCCTCTACAAGCTGAAACGCTTTCAAAAGCAAAACTCAAGAGATCTAAGTCCAAACATTTTTTTTAATGTTTATTTGAATTCGGATAGCTCAACAGTACAGAAGTACAACTACAAAAAGAGTACCGAATAGAAGGCCCCGAGAACGGGAAACCAAAAAAACAAACAAAAAAAAAAAAAAAAGCAACATCAAGTTACTGATTATGCACATTGCTTGAAAGCAAATCACAACAATGATTAAGAGTTAAGCTGTCTTTTAGCCAAATAGCCAATTTGACGCGGAAATCTGCGATAGTAGTGCAGGACTTCAGGTCGTCTGGTAAATAATTCCAAACAAGAGCCGATTTACTTGAAAAGGACAGAAAGCCAGACATAGATCTATAGCGATTGATACTCATGTTATGAGTTGTAGAGCCGCGAGTAGTTCGGGTAGACGTACAGATGGGAAAGAGGGACTGCAAGCAAACAGCCGGCTTAATACAGTAACAGTGGAAAATGAATACAAGGAACAAAAATACTGATCGATATTGGAAAGAGGAAACATTGAGGTGGTGAAGAAGTGGCGTGATATTAGCTTGGGGTGATGCGCCACAAGCAACTCGTACAGCGCGCCGGTGGAGTGAGGCTAGCTTGTTTCTATTTTTAGCGGATATAAACGAAAGGTATACAGGGAGAGCATATTCTAGATCAGGCTGAATAACACCGACAACGAAAGTACAGCGGGCAAACAGGTTCATCTGGCGGAAAGATCGACGCAGTACACCGATCTTCTGTGAGGCTTTCCGGGCGACATTGTTAATGTGTTGGTCAAAGGACAGCTTATTGTCAACAACGACTCCTAAGCATCTGGTGCTTTCCACTTCCCCTAGCCTAACATTTGACAAGGTGATTTGCAGTTGTTGCCTTTGTTGTTGTTGCTGACTCCCTGTGGCACGTTTGGGATGGATTTGCATGACAACGGTTTTGTCGGTATTTATCTGCATACCAATGGAGCCAAGGTGGTTGTTAAGTATCTCCAGTGCCGATGACAACTTGGCTTCGGAACGCGCCTTCGACGGATCACTAGAGTAGACTGTCTTGTCATCTGCGAACATCAGTAATTTTGAACCCGCTGTCTCCGCAAGCCGGGGAAGGTCCCTCAGGTAGACATTAAAGAGGGTAGGGCCTAAAATACTTCCCTGAGGAACTCCTCGAGACACTGCAAGACTTGAAGACTGGCTGGCTTGCGTGACGACACGCTGAGATCTCCCGGCGAGGTACGACGCAAACCAACGCAGGGCGCTTGCATGAACACCCATGCCATGGAGCGCAACGAGTAACTGTTGATGCTGGACGCGATCAAACGCCTTGCTGAGGTCGACAAAGGCTACACTGGTAGTCTCTCTGCGGTCCTGGGCCAGTTTCCAATCATTTACAGCAAGTGTGAGCAGTTGTGTCGTGGAACGAGCTGGTCGGAACCCAAATTGGTGATCGTGGAGGTGATTTTCGATGGTCAAACTGTCACATACCTGATTTAGAACCAGGCGTTCCAGAGTCTTAGCCAGAATCGACGTGAGTGACACAGGACGATAGTTCGAAGGAGAAGTAGGATCGCCCATACGGGATTTCAATATCGGCGTGACATTAGCCAACTTGAATTGTGTCGGGAACACAGCAGTGCACAAAGAGGTATTAAATATTAGGGTGAGGGAGAAGGCGATAACCGGTGCAACGGCCTTCAGGATGCTCGGGAGGAGACCATGTGGCCCAGGCGCTTTCGTACCGTCGAGTTTCTGAAGGTGCCGAAGTACCTCATCCTCAGAAATAGGGCGAAACTCGTGCAAGTCACACGGTCTTGAGGTACCACTTGGAACAACATAAGCCGGGTTCGGATCTGACACAATACTATGGAAATACCTGTTCAAGGTATCTGCCTGGACGAGAGGCTCAGTTCTTGGGTTTGTGCGCCGGGTGACTGAGTTGATGGTGCTCCTAAGACGCCTAGGATCTCGCCGGTAATCGTCACAGATGGAGCGGAAGTGGGCATTTCGGAGTTGGCGATAAAGGTTATTGCATTTGCTGCGCAAAACTTTGAACTCCTTCTGTAGAACCGTACTACTGCAGTCAGACGAGCGGTACTTTCTGTAGACGGTTTTACGTCGCTAATGAGAGCTAGTAATTCCGGTGTCATGAATGGGCACTTCTTCCTTTTTCCAGGGGATTGTCTCCGTGATATTATGTAGGGTGCAACCACATCCAAGGCGTCTTCAAATTTTCCTTGCCACTCTTCTAGCATTACATCGACCGACGGGGACAAGAAGGATCCGAGATCAGAAATTGACAATAAATGAGAGAGATCAGAGGCAGAGGCCTTACTGTAATCACGGCGGTGGGATCGATATATTTGTCCTTGTGTTGGAATTGACTTCGGAAAAATAATACTGGTGTGAACAAACTCATGATCGGTGAGCTCACAGGAGTGAACGCTTCCGTGCTCAACACAATCCATGTTCGTTAGTACACAGTCGAGAAGTGTTTTAGATGTAGGTGTGATCCTTGTAGGGTGCGTAATCATATTCTTCAGATCAAGGGGAAGTAGCAGGTATGTGTTCAAATTGTCAAAATGATGCGTTTGAGGGGACAAGAAATCAACATTTAAGTCGCCCATCAGAATGAGATCTTCGCCCTGAATGTCATACATGACTTGCTGTAAAGATTGCCAAAAAGCCGCCGGTGCGGACGGTGGCCTGTAGAGACAGCCAATGAGGAATGATTCACCTGCTTCTCGTTTTTTGGAACGCAACCAAACCATTTCCAGGTCGATGTGCTGAATCAACATCCGCTTAAACCCAAGTTGCAACCTGCTGTAAATCACTACACCGCCGCGCTTTTGGCAAGGTGTTCCATTTGTACAGGAGCAGTTGTAATTGCACTTTCTGTCGAGACGGTGCATTGAGAACCCCCGGATGTCGACTTCTGAGTCCGAGATGCTGTTGTCGAGCCATGTTTCTGATACTGCTAAAATGTCTAAGTTATGGACCCGGACAAGCTTGGACAACACGAAAAGCTTATTTCGCAAACTACAAATATTAACCCTTTATGTACTGATTTCCAGCACAGAATGAAGCAGAATTTGAATTTTCAGCACAATTTTCACATTCAACAGGCTATAACTTTGGCCTCCTTCACTGCATTTCCACAATCTTGGGCTCTTTGGAAAGCTCCTGGCGATAGCAACGCCAGGATACCAGGCTCCATCAACTAGCTTCCACTAATCAGACGCAGGAACACAGCAAAGTCGTCTCCAAGCCCAATATGCGAGAAAATTTCCCCATCAACGCCCTTCCACTCTCCTCTATCGCAGAACGCTCAAATCTTTTCGAGGCGATTCAAACTTCAGCCAACTACGTCACTATCATGTGCTGAGTTGGTCAAAGAGCACACGAAAAGGGATTTTCCCCTAAAATGGCGAAGAGATCAATAAAATTTTTGAATTTGCCGAGACAAGAATACGGCGCGCGATATCTCTGGATTCGTACATCGTAGCTCTTCGGCGATTGTTGCATTAGAAAGCTTGGAGTTTCCGCTACCAAATAGACCCTTCAGTTGTTGAATTCGGACAAGAAATGATGGAGTTCCGAAGGTTTTACGGATCGATCATGAATCGATCATATGTGATCGATTCATGTACACACCGTACATAAAGGGTTAATATGACCAATAGATATAGAAGAATATGTAATGCAATGAGGGGAAGGGTGTGATGAACTTGCGTGGGGCACAAAGGGTTGGGCAAGAGGATTTAGATTTGATCTGACTTCAGTCATTGTTTCTCGTCTGTTGAGTAGCGACGCTGGCCTACACTGCCTGAAGTGCGATCATCATGGGATTTGAATCTCCAGATATTTTTCAGTAACAAAAATAAGAATACGAAGTAGTGGTTGCGACTTCGGCGATGATTTGTAAGAAATGGTCAAGTGTCAAGTAAAGTCGGCGGAATAGCGCGAGCTCCGGTGTGGGGAGCAAACCATTTCTTAAAAATAAGAATTTTGCAGTAAAGGATACGGAGAAATTTCATACCTGCATGAATATATTTGTGGAAAAAAACTATTTCACAGGAGAGATTATGGCCAAAACTATCTACGTGGGTTCCCTTCGGGAACGGACACGATAATTTACAATTTTAATTTTATTTTCGCATGCACATCAAACTTAACAGCATTTCTCCATTGACAAGTACTCAGTCAATGAGAAATGAATCATATCAAGAATCCATAACCCCAAGAGTGTGCAACTGAGGTGTGCCTGCTGTAGGCCCACTGTGCGGCGGAATTTCAACATAACGTCGTGCCACTGAGGCACAGCTGTACAAAACTCAGCATTCCGCGGTGCTTGGAACCAGGGAGTAGTACAAGCGCAACGAACGCCATTTTTGACGAAATGTTGGAATTCCGCCGCGCAGATCCCCACGTACAGAGTTGCACACTCTTGGGGTTATGGACTCTTGATCATATCTGTATTAAAACAAAAATAACACAATGAACCTAACTTTCACAATCGAGAAATACTGACCTGCATCACACAGAGTTCCCGTATATCCCGCAGCACAGTTACAATGGAATGAATTGACGAGATCCACACATGTTCCAGCATGGCATGGTGATGAGACGCACTCATTGATTTCTGCAGAACAGGGGGATAAGGAAAGAAAAATATCATTCACACCTCAAGAAAGAAAAAAGTGATCTGGCTAGACTTGCAACATACTGTTATTCCAAGAACTGTTTAGAAACGCTTTTGTGGATTCACAGGGTGGGGTGTAGGTTGGGTACTTTAACGATTATATTGTCCTAATACATTGTCTTGCATATGCCTGGCATGCTTTTCAGGAAGACATACAAATCCACAGTTGGTGTGTGACTCAGTCAGACTCAGTTTTCCGCATTGATAGAAGTGGTACCACCCTCAAGAACTAAGGAGCAGATGCAGCTCCTAAAGCGGTGGGAGGCAAGATAGGAGATCCACCACCAAAGTGGTCAAAGACCGCTAATTTCATTCCATGCATCCATGTTTCCAACATATCAGGCCAAAAGTTCTCAGTTTATTGTAGTTCGGAGCAAGATTATAAAGGTCCTTCATCTTCCAAGCAGGACTTGAAATTGGTGCCCTTTGTTTCTCAGTTATGGTACGGGACTATCCTTCTAGGCCTGCTTGCGTCGAGGGTTATAAGTCGGCAGTGGATCACCCACCCAAGTCAGCATGACCAACACAGAGTATTACCTGTGTCGCAGTGTTCGCCAGTATACCCCGCAAGACAATCACACACATATCCACTGACTTGATCATGACAACTTCCTCCATTGTTACAAGGATTGGATGAGCATTCATTGGTATCTGCAGATAGACACAAGGCAGAGAGCAAAAATAGGGAAGATAGTAGACAGAAGAGTAAAGGAGAGTTAGTTTGAGGCAGTTACAGGGATTGGAATCAAGCACGTAACCGGAACAAATGGAAAGGTATGATGTATGTAAGCGTGGAGGAGAGCAGGGAGAGAGAGAGAGAGAGAGAGAGAGAGAGAGAGAGAGAGAGAGAGTATTCTAGACAGAAAACGAGGTGGAAGAAAAAGAGGAGGCATATGAACCGGTTCAAACGTATGGGGGGGGGGGCAGTATAGGAGAGACCGGATTAGGGCATACAGTGATTGGAACATGAAATCTGCAACCTGTGTGCTGCAATGTTACCAGATTATTGGCGCGTGTGTGTACATTACTCCTAATGACAGCTCCACAGTCGTAGATCACTGTTCTATTGGGAATATCATAGTTACGATATAGTGAAAGGGCAAAAAAGCTAAACCTAGGCATGCAAAGATGACAATCAGCCAGGAATGGCAAACCTTTCTCATCCCTCAAATTTACCTTGGTCACACAATTGTCCGGTAAACCCTGGCTGACAAACACAGGTGAAATTGTTGACACGATCCAAGCAAGTTGCATCAGTGTGACAAGGTGACCCTTGGCAATCATCAATGTCTGAGAGAGACAGAAAAAGCACACAGTAGCAATATGCAGACACATACTTTTGCTTGCTCACTGCCAAAGCTGGTCACGTGGGTCTCCCCTGGAGAGGAGAAAGAGCCTCAAAAGGAATCTTGGAAAGATGATTTTTAAAATTGGCTATTGACCAGCCCAACGGTCGACACCCCCTAAAATCCTCAAACTCTGTGTGGAGTTGGAAATGATCACACTTACGGGCTCACCACACCTCAGTAAGTGGGTGAGGACAAGGCGCAGAAAACGGATTGAGGGCATCAGGGTACCCAATCCGGGATCCAACTGCAGTTACATCCAGTGAAGGTAATAGAGAGGTTAAGATGCACGTAATTTCTGACGTGACGCGAAAGTTCATCTCGCGTTATTTGGCTCGCACGTCGAAAAATCAACGCGAGTGACCTGCTGCTCGCGTCGAAATTTGGAGTTTTACGCCAAATTTGACGTGAAATTGCGCGTCACGTCGGAAATAACGTGCATCTTAACCTCTCTAATACTTCCTACTAGTGTACACACTGAGAAAGTTGATCAGCATCTATGCACTACCTGTTTCACACCGTACTCCAGTATATCCTGTGAGGCAATCACAGTTGTAGTGATCTGGGCTATCGTTTTGACATACACCACCATGCATACAAGGATCTGACAAACATTCATCAATTTCTGAAAGCAGAGAGATAGAAGCATGTACAGTTACGCTGAAAGCATCCGTGTAACGTATCGGAATAACTCTGAAGTAACGTTATCCACTATCATACTATTTGAGCCGCACCATGGCAAAAGGGTGCTTATGGCAAAAAATTCACAAACTGAGTTATGACTAAAGTGCAATGGCTGAATTCTCACTGCTTCTGTTGCAAAAACCGCATTCAAAAAGCTTGATAAACTGCAAGGAAAACTAATCGAATTCAAAAAGAAAATGTGCGCTCTCATTATTGCATACTCAACTTTCAACGAATTTTTCTCAGTTTGATGTTGCGTGCCATAAGCACCCTTTTGTTGTGTCGCGGCTCATTTTATTTTTTTCATCATAGCCTAGGAGCTGTGGCATCATTCATGATCCACAGCAAGAAGTCAGCAATGCCTGTACCTATGGTGAAGTAAAATAACAGAACATACTACCAGCCACTCAACCTACGACCGTATTGTATTACAAGTGAGAATATGCTAAGTCACTAGTGCCCGACACCCAGGTAACTAACCTTCGTCACACTGAGTTCCCGTAAATCCCGCAGCACATTCACACCGGAATGCATCAACGAGGTCCACACATGTTCCAGCATGACATGGAGATGAGGCACATTCGTTGACTTCTGCACCAGAAAAGGGTAAGGATAGACAGAGGCAGTTAAGCTCTTAAAGAGAGTAGTTGTACAGTGCCAAGCCTTGCAGGTACGGTACGTTTCAGGAACATGTAGAGATGAGACTTTTTTTATTTATTTTTAATTTGTATATTTTTTACATCCCACCGCTTTGGGAGCTGCCTCTGGCGCCTTCACCTTCATCTTTGGGGTTGTGGCATTTCAATACATGTAAAAAACTCAGACTAGCTGTGCCTCGCGCGATCGGTAATTCTTTTTGAAATAATCAAGTGCATCTGCAGTGGAGGGGGGGGGGGGGCTTGGAGAAGAATGGTTTTGAAAGATACAAGAAAGTTCTTCACCAAAAATATTTTTGCTTATTACCAGGCGTACGCGACTTACAACAATCAAGCACTTTCTTTGACAGATATGCGTCTACGAGGAATTATTCCGCACACAGGAGCAAGACCAGAGCAAAGCATTACCTGTGTCGCAGTGTTCGTCGGTATATCCCGCAAGACAATCACAGACATATCCACTGACTTGATCATGACAACTTCCTCCATTGTTACAAGGATTGGACGAGCACTCGTTGATATCTGGATTGATACCGGGAAGGTGGAGAAGCAAGAGAACATTTTTGGGAAAGGAACATAGGAAGAAACAAGGTAAAAGTTGAGGTGGATTGAAATGAGGCTGAGCTGGATATCTTCCGGGATGCGGATGGCAAAGTGGGATATGGGGGGGGATACCGGAAAATGGAAAGAAAAACTGTGTACGAGACTGTCGTGTTCAAAGTCATGACCGGGGCCGGCATCCTTACTGCTTTTAGCGCATCTTTCTACATGTACTTCACATACACATTGTAAAAATAGACCAGCAGTGCTTGCGGCTGCAAGTACAGCACCCCGTGGCCACGGATATCAATGTCGGCAAAAGTACTGTACAGTCAGACCTCGCTTATCCGGTCCTCTTTTATCCGGATCCCTCGCCGTCCGGAAGAAAATCGTTGATTACTGATTTACAGCATATGGCATACATACATACAGTGTGTGTGTTCGATTATCCGGTTCCCTCGCCTATCCGGATACTTTGGTGGAAAACGGATGTGTGCGGTTATGCGAGGTCTGACTGTAGTAGTACAACGGCCTGAATTCTATATCACTGTTCTATTAGGCATATCCTGGTACAGTAAAACCTGGTGTATGCGACCTCTGTCTTTAGCGACCACCTGCTCTTAACGACCATTTTTTCATGCACCGACGGCTCTGCACAGACAATGTTGGACCTGGTTCTAAAGGCCACCTGGCTTTATTGACCGCTTTTGCTTGCACCCTGGGGTGGTCGCTTACACCAGGTTTACTGTACATATATGTCAAGAAACAGTGGAAGGGGAAAAACAAGTGAAGCTACCGTATTTCCCCGTAAGTCAGTACGTACTAACTTTCGAACTTAGCAGCCACATGAGTACTAACTTTCTGGGGTGGTACTATCTTTCGGGGAGTACTTTTTATCGGGGGTAAATGACACGCAGTGGGAAGCCTGCGCAACTCTAGTGTCCGTGCATATGACGTATGTACTGTACGGTGTCTGTACATGTAGGACGGGTACGAACTTACTATCTTTCGGGGGAACTGTCTTTCGGGGTGATAACCTCGGAAGTGGAAAGCGTATTTTTTATAGGGGGATACTAAGTCATTGGGGAGAACTAACTTACGGGGAAATCCGGTAGTCCCATGAAGATGACAATCTGCCAGGAATGGCATACCTTTCCCATCCCTCAAATTTACCTTGGTCACACAATTGTCCAGTAAAACCTGGCTGACAAACACAGGTGAAATTGTTGACACGATCCAAACAAGTTGCATCAGTGTGGCAAGGCGCCACCTGGCAATCATCAATGTCTGAGTGAGAAAACAATGCACGCATGCACACACATATGCACATACACACCCACACACACACACACACACACACACACACACACACACGTGCACACACACACGTCCACATCGTTGTTTTATGTTATGAGAAATATGAATGCCAGTGTTACCAAGTAGTGTAACAGATTACAAACATATAAAATAGCCTGCAAAATATTGACGCGAAGAACAAAACAACTCCAACCCACGCGCACATGCAAACATGCTCACACATGCTGACACACACACACACACATGTACATGCACACGCGCGCGCACACACACACACATACACACACACACATACACACACACACACACACACACACATACATGTACATGCACACGCGCGCACACAAATAGCACATCGTCAAAAAACCTCCACCCCACGCACACATGCAGACATACACTGTACTTGTAGTTGTTGCTCACTGCCAAAACTGGTCACGCGAGTCTCCCCGGGAAAGGGGAGAGAGACTCAAAAGTAATCTTGGAAAGATGATTCAATTGGCTATTGAACCACCCAACGACCGACACCGCCTGAAATACCCAAACTAGGGTGGACTTGTACTGATGCCACTTATGGGCTCACCACACCTCAGTAAGTGGGTGAGGACAAGGTGCAGAAAAAAGATTGACGGCATCAGGGTATCCGTCCCGGGATCCAACTGCAATTACCCCTGCCCCCAGTGAAGGTAATACTTGCTAGTACTAGTGTGGGTGGCTAAATCAGAGTAGATCTGATATAAGCTTCACTAGCATCATTGATTACGCAAAAAGTTAATCTAGCCAGAAGCAGTCCATGGTTAACAGGTATGTACACTTCAAGTAAAAAGTAGTTGAACCCTGGAACCAACAAAGGTGGTAGGTACAACAATACCCCTTCAAGCAGCCGAGCCCCTTGGCAACTGACTCAACATACACACACATGATCACATACACAAACACACACTCATGCCTCACACACACACACGCACACACACACACATACACACATGCACACACTCGCACACAAGGAGCACCTTGTCAAAAACAGTTGACCAGCATATTCATCCAAACCTGTTTCACACCGTTCTCCAGTATATCCCGTGAGGCAATCACAGTTGTAGTGATCTGGACTATCGTTTTGACATACACCACCGTGCATACAAGGATCTGATAAACATTCGTCAATGTCTGAAAGCAGAGGGACAAACACATGTGCACTCATACCTCTCTTAGCAGGACCTCGAAGTTAGGGGCAGCTCAGTAAAGGCACATTGTACTTGAGGTTTGGTGGAAATATTACTGCTCCACTTTCAATCCTATGTTGAGGAAATTGAAAAGGGAAAGGTCAGAAGGAAAGAATGACTGTCACCACCAAGAATCGAACCAGGGACGTTTGCTTGAGGCCAGCGAATTTTTCCTTCTTCTTTTTGTGGAAATTTTAATGGTATTCCTCTACAAAATGTGCGTTATGAAAGACTCACGGACAATTCCGTGTTCTGGGCAGTGCCATTTCCTGAACCGCCTGGATAAGCGAGGAATGAGTGTAAAGGTTTCGGTTACTAGACACGATGTGTTTATTAATCGCTGACCCTTTCAGTATGCTCTCAACTTCTGTCCGACCCTCTTCATGCGGGCTGTCCACCTCACTTTCTCCATCACTACTCACACCATCCTCATCCATGTT